CCCCAAAACCCCAAAACCCCAAAACCCCTTGTTTATAAATCTTTGATAAATTTGAAGATATTGAGATGAAAGATTGATTTGTTAATAATTTAAATTTAGAATGGAAAACTACTCAGACTTTGCTTTGGATTTCAGAAATGAAATCTAAAACTAGCTAGTAAGAAATCAACCTTTTGGGAAAGCTATTAGCCAATGAACCAGAGTTCCAGCAGCTAATAGAGTGCAGAAATAGCATTCAGCTGAGAGTACATTACGTCGCCAGAAGAAGCAACCTCTCAATGAGCAACAATTGCCTCCAAAACCCAGACAGAATTTTAGTCTGCCTCCAACTATCATTCCTGATACTAATTTTCAGTTGCACAAAGATTAAGTTAGAAGTATCAAGCCTAATAAGAAACCTAGAACTTATCATGGGACGAAACAACAAGATTAGTTGAATATTGATAGAGAGATGATTGATTAAGTAGTTAGTAATTCCTTGTAACATCATTTCACTTAAGTACTTAGCTAAAGGAACAACTACAGCAAATACTTAAGCTTTAATATTGTACTAAATCTTCTCTAAGAATTTACAATCATTAACCCTTTAGTTCAATAACTAGTAATGATTCTTGAAAATAAGAAGGTTGCTTATTCATAATCTCAATCAAATGTCATGAGTTATATCACAAGCTTCGAGGAAATATTAAATCAATTGAAATTAAGAAAGAAGCACTTGAGATGTAATATCAGCTTGAAAGGAAAGAAAAAATCAATAGTGGCTAGACCATATCTAGTGGTACCAAAGAAGAATTTAGAATTAAAAATGAGCTATTAAGAATTAGTTGGAAAACTTGATTATGATGCTAAGAATGTTCTTACTAATGAAGCAAAATAAGTTGATTTGATTTCTAGATATTTCTCAAATAAGTTGACAAGACCATAGTAAAATTTGCTTGTTAAGAAATCTAGCCAAGGTCAAGAAGATTTATTATATTTGCTCAAAGTATGGAACAACTTGAGGACTTAGATCTAATAAAACTCTCTTGGTTTAAAAGATGAATGCTTAAAGGTTATATCATGTTGTTATACTGACAGATAACTTTACTTAAGTCCTTCATTTATAAAGTATGTCACATTTATTACTAGCAACTGTAGATTATTCAAGGATTAGAAAGTATATGTGCTCTAATGAGCTAATGACATTAATGGTTAATTTTTATTAATTTTTATATTCAAAGTTTAATTCTTCAATAATATAAAGTAATTAAGATGAAGGGGTTTTGGGGTTTTGGGGTTTTGGGG